TCCTCCCTCCTTTAGAGAATGGTCACATATAAAGAATAAAGGATGTGAATTGAAGCCTTTAATTTGTCTGAGGTTTTAATTGTGTAGAATATTCATCTTGTATGGATAATAATTGGTGATTAGGATTCCTCCTTATCAAATCCTAGCTCACCACGCAAGCATCTTTGCTTGCATGGTTTCAGCTATGCTTGCCATGTCAGCTGCCACGTGGTCAAATGACTTCAAATCCACTATAGATGTCAATTCCTCTAGGACCTCATCACCTCTTGTTTAATTTTTTTTTTTTTTAAAAGTATATATGAAGTTTTAATTTGGAATATCTTTCCCGCTTTGATTTCATGACTATTAAGTCACTATTATTTTTAGTCAAGTATTATTTTTGTCACATTTAATGCGTGCATCGTGTTCATTTTGCTTTTCATCACATGCATTTAGTCCCTTTAGCCAAATATATGATTGAAAATAGGCTAAATGCATCATATTTTCAATCCAGAACCACTTTGGCTCTTACACCTCAACACTTTTGAGGAGGAAACCATATGGTTTCGAAGATTTGGCCAGAAAGATCAAATGTGGTAAATAAATAAAAGTCGTACATCGAATGTGACAAAAATTATACTTGGTGATTAAATGTGGAAGTGACATACTGGTGGGATCAAATAAAATAATTTATTTAATGCTGAAAAAATATAAGAGAGAACATATGTGTTTATAAGATGATGAGTTAGGCTAGCTAATTAATTCGATCCAGTCTTTCAATGTGATTTGGCTCCGTCCTGTTGAGTGATCTTGACTCTATCTTACCATATAACATGATATCAATGGCACGGGGAGAAACCAGAACATATTGGTTTATATGACTATGTGTTAGACTGACTTATTGATTGGATTGAGTTTAATCAAGCATGTTGGCTAGACAGGTTTTACTACATTGCAGAATTTCCATTCATCTGAGCACAGGTCACACAGATGCTGATGTATGAAGCCACATTGTCTAATCTTTCATAGCACATTTCTGTCACTGTCCTATTTTGATGACAGTATAGTGATATTGCAATTAAAGATTGAGTTCAAACATAGTACAACACATCCTATATATATAAAATATCTTCTGAAAAATCAGTGATCTCTATGAATCCCATGGTTCTCTATTAGAGCATTCTATTAAGAGTTCTACTACATGCACTTCCAAATTATACTCTCTCATTTGTACTTCCTGAGGTGACAAATTAGGATTGATTATTTTCATTATGTGGGTCCACAGAAAAATGTCTACATAAAAAATATGTGAGAGGGAGTACAAATTGAGAATATAAAATGGAAGTACACCAAGTATTTTCCTTCTATTAGATCATCCACATTGGTTGGGGAGAATGAGGGGATAATGTAAGAGTAATTAGGAAAGAGAATGTGGGAGGGGAGAAAAAAAAAAGAAAAAACAAAACAAAAAAAAAATTAAAAAAAAAAAGAAAAAGTAATCAGACGCGTCGACTGGCGCGTGCAGTGCACGTGCCCGGCTTTTGCCCAGGCTGTGCGCGAAACGCGCACAGCCTTGCTTCTTTTTTTTTTTTTTTTTAAATTTTCTGACATTATGCCTACACTTGCAGGACAACTATTTCTAAATTATCTCCCCCCACATTAGTTATTATCTCTACATGGGAAGAAAGCAAACTGAAATAACTCCACATTATCCACTAGTGTGGATGCTCTTAATGGTTTTTGGGAGGTTTTTGAGGAAGCAATGCTTATGTGGAGGAGAGAGAGCGAGGAGAGAGAAGGAGCTGAGTTCTTAGCTAAAGACCTGGTTTTTTGTCTTCAAAGTGGGACGTACTCACTCAAAAAAAACTGTCCATTTGTCACGTGATGCGCACAGAATACACCTAGCCGGGTGCATGCACTCCACGCGCCCGCTGGCACGTTAATCTGACTCTCTCTCTCTCTCTATATATATATATATATATATAAAATTTTTTTTTCAGATTTTTTTTTTTTTTCCTTTCTCTTTCGACCACTCCCATCTTCTCTTCCCTAAAGCACTCGCGCAATGCTGGACGGGGTTACGTCTCCTGAAAAACTTGACGATTAATGATCACAAAGAAATTTTCCCGCCCCTTTTCACCACATCCAGGAATAATCTATCCCCAATATTTTTTATTCACAATTTGCAGACACTTACAAGGCTTTGCTAACAGAGAAAGTCTACTTTTTCAAATTTCATATGGTCAAATTCAGAACCCATTCAAAAGTATGTGTCTGCTTTTGTGATAGTGATAAAGGAGCAGATATCATTTTCCAATGAAGTTCTTCAAGTATTATCTTTGTTTACTTCAAAGAATTGCCTGAAGCTGTTGATAACAGCCCTCCCATTATGGTTTAATTAGAGGTAAGAGACTAAAGAGTGGCAATGAATATGCCTCTTCAGATTGCTTTTGAATTATTGAGGGAATTGAAGGAATCAAATCACGAGGGGGGATAGAAAATCTGAATGAGTGTGGAGTGGAAGAATCAATTCTCACACTGTAAATTTATTACAAGTTTTTTTATTTTTCATGTTCAGACCTTAACCAAGTCTACCTGAATGAATAGGCCTACTCATTCTGAGAATGTCTCTGTGGACTTGAACACATGACACACATGCGCGCCCACGTGATGTCTGAGGAGTGCATCCCCTCTTGCATCCATGCCATTGGTCTGCAATGGAACCTCCAACTGCATTTGATGTATGCAAGTCAGCATCTGTTAGGATAAAGGGTTGGAAAAATAGCATAAATGGCATTGAAAGTAGGGGTTTTTTTTGTGGTACAAATATATGTGGGGTCTAATTCTGATTTGGGTTGGGTCAGAGTGGATTCGGGTTCTTCGTTGTGAGACGAAGAGATTGATATATTGTACGCTCAAAACGGATAATAGGTGAATGAGAAATTGATTCTCAAAGTAGACTTATTTGAGTTGGAAAATGAAGGTGGAAATGCTTAGAAGTAGCATTTGTCCACATTGAAAAAACAAAGGGATTTACACCACTATATATATAAGTCTTTTAAAAATACATTGAATTGTATAGTATAGTATAGTTTTAAGGAGAGTGTTTTGCACTCTCTTTATACCGTCACATTTTCGAGAGGCAGGGTGCAACCACTAATTACTGGACTTGACCCTTTACCCAACAATCCCCTTAGCCACAAATTGCTAGACTTCATTCTTTATCGACCTTTGGCCCTAACAATTACTCTAAACACCAAATATTGGACTTGCCCATTTACTGGCCTCTACCCCTAACAATCCCCTATCAATCAACGAAGCCGCTCTTGGCCTAGGAGGGACGGGAGAAGCTGCATCCTCTAGAACAGGAAATTTTTAGACATAAGTTTCATGGTGACATAATACGTAAGTTTCATGGTGACATAATGATGTGCACCGGCGAGGGTATTCCCGGCGGTCGGCGAGGGTGTGCCGGCGGCGAAAAGGGTATGTTCGGAGGAATTCATAGACATGACGGTGAGAGTGGTTGATTTGCGGTGGAGGTGAGGGGGAGAGGAATTTTTCCGATAACCTGACTTCTGATACCAGATTAGAGATAATTGTTGAGCATTAACTGAACAATAGGATTACAGAGTTTATCAAATAATAATTCTCTAACTAATCTGACTAGTAGTCTATCTATTCTAAACACCACATATATTACAACCATATAATATAACTATAATAATAATACTAACACACTTGACCTTTTACCTGTCTCTGGTCCTAACAATCCCCTTAACCACCTAGACTTTACCTTGCTAGCCTTAGCTTTGACCCCAACAATTCCCCTAGCCACCAATTGTTGGACTTGACCTTTTACTGGCTTTTCGCACCAACAATTTTCCTAGCCACCAGTTGCTGGACTTCACCATTTACTGGCCTTTGGCTCTAACAATCTCCTTAGTTACCAATTGCAGGACTTGACTCTTTACCGACCTCTGGCCCCAACAATCCCTCTAAACACCAATTATTGGACTTGCCCATTTACTGGCCTCTACCCCCAAAAATCCCCTAGCCATCAATCGTTGGACTTGACCTTTTACATGCCTCTGGTCCCAATCACCCCATTAACCACCTGGACTTGACCATTTACCGGCCTCTACCCCCAACAATCCCCATAGCCATCAATTGCTTGACTTAGCCATTTACCGGCCTCCACCCAACCCCCCCCCCCCCCCCCAATAATCCCCCTAGTCATTAATTACTAGACTTAGCTCTTTACCGGCCTATGGCCACAACAATCCCTTAAGCCACCAATTGCTGGACTTGGTCGTTTATTGACCTCTGGCCCCAACAATCCCACAAGCCACCAAATGCTGGATTTGGCCATTTACTGGCTTCTACCCCCAACAATCCCATAGTCATTAATTGTTGGACTTGATCATTTATCAGCCTCTGGCCCCAACAATCCCCCTAGTGATTAATTGCTGGACTTTATCATTTACCGGCCTCTAGCCCCAACGATCCCCTAGCCACTAATTGCTGAATTTGACAATTAACCGGCCTCTACACCAACAGTCCCCCTAGCCATTAATTACTGGATTTAGCCCTTTACCGGCCTCCGCCCAACAGCATCAATGCCCTCTTTACATAATGGATTTACACATGTCATGTAAGCATTTAGTAAGTGGAATGTGCATCTATGTAATCATTATGGGGTAGTTATGTATTTCATATTCTTGCATCCATCTCCCAGTTAGAGCTTTCCCCTCATAAAGCCTTGCCAGAAATGGATACAGAACAGAGAATAGTATTTGAAACTCTTTTAGAGAAGTATTGGATGGGGAATCCAGTAAAGATGGGCTTTATTTGGATATGTTCCCGGTTTGTGTTTCTATGCATGCACTTAATACAATAATAGTTCATAAATGGCTACTCCTAAGAACCCATTCCCATACACTACTTAAGAAAGAGGTAATACTTTCGTTTTTCCCAAAAATATTTCTCCTTAGCCTTTTGAACCCCGGTTAAGGAAACCTAGTATAGGGCCCCACTGCTAAGTTCCTCACAGTATATAAGCCCTCTCAACCCTCATTCACCAAAACTCACCATCCATCTTCAGCTAACAATTCTCTTCAGTTTCAATTACACTTTGTATATCTCAACTCTGCAACTCGATCGCTTTTCTGATCTTTCGTCTTCTAGGTGAGTACTTCTGATTGATTTTTTGAACAGATACTACATTGTAACAGAGTTAGTAGTACTAAAAAAAAAAAGGTGAGCACTTCATGGTTAAATGGATAGTGTATGTCTAGAAGAGTATGCACATTTCATGTTTGGCAAATTTCTGAACAATTTTTTGTTCTGAACATGTTTGTTAGAAAATGAGCCGGGAAGGGGATTGGATGTGTGCTGCATGCCAACACCTTAACTTCAAGAAGCGCGATGCATGCCAACGATGCAGCTGCCCGAAGTATGCCTCCGCGTCTGATGTGGCCTTATACGGGCTAAATAAATCGGAAGTGTTGGCTGGGGACTGGTATTGCACCGGCATGAACTGCGGGGTTCACAACTATGCGAGCCGAACGACTTGCTTCAGATGTGGCGCCTCGAAAGTGGATTATTATGGCTATGCTGCTGCAGCATATGATGCAAATGCTGTTCCTGGTTGGAAATCTGGTGACTGGATATGCAACAGGTAAATTCAATTCAGAGTTTTGGAGGATTAATGAAGTGTCTGTGACAGTTACAGATTACCTTAAACTACCACTACTAGAAATTATGGAATTTACGACCACCTGAAAGTGATCTTAAATCAAGTCGAAAGCCTGGTTGCTATTTCCGACCACTTTTTGCTTTCGATTTGATTTAAGGTCATTTTTTTCAGGTGGTCGGAAATTCCATAATTTCGAGCAGTGTATACTCAAATAGTTCAATTTGATATACTGATAATTAAATCATCTGCAATTCCTGCAGATATGGATGTGGTACTCACAACTATGCCAGTAGAACAGAATGCTACAAATGCAAGACGCCTCGGGATTACGGTGAGGATTATATTCTTAGCTTGTGCTGGATATGATGATCATCTGTGTACTTAATAGCATTACTCATTTACTAAAATCTTTCATTTTTTTTGTTTGTTTGTTTTTGGTTTTATTCTCATCAGCACAAGACCTGTGATGAGAAAGTGAGTCAAGGAAGAGATCAGAACAGCATTCTATTCCCAGTTCATATCCAAGAATTGCTGTTTCTTTAGTTCTTATTACCACTCTCTGTGTTTTCTTAGTCCAATAATTAATATTATCCAATTTTCATTAGCATTGCTCTTTGGTTAGCCACAATGGGTTTCTAACTTCATTTTTGTATGATGCAAGTGTTCATACATATATATGAATGAAATCCCATCATATTTTCCATCTCTTTCTTCATTCATCTCTCTTTCAGTGTTAGTTCTTATCTTTGATGCTTATGAGTTGTGAATGATGAGACTTTTACATGGGGTGGTCCATGGAATAATAATAATAATAATAATAATAATAATAATAATAATAATAATAATAATAATGTGTCCCGAATCCCAATAGCTATCAACTGATTAAACGGTGCGATCCTCTCAACTAAAAACTTTTAAACTTAGGACCTTTTGTTTGATCTAATATTTAAAGAACGTTTTACGTGTTCTGTTTCAATTAAAAATTTAAACTGATTATAATAAGACAACTAATACATTTTTATACTTTATATATATTATATATGCCTAACACAATCAAACCTACTTGTCCCTACAAAGAAAATTCTCAAACATTTCCACTAGTAGAAAAATAACATTCAACATTGTTTGTTTGTTTGTTTGGTTTTTATTTATTTATTTTTTTAATCTATTTTTTTATAATTTTTATTTTTTACACATGTAGTATGGTTTGGTGAAGTACTAATTAAATCATAAACCACGTGGAAAATTATTATTTTTAAGATTTTAATTTTGGGCCCAAAATTATTTGTGTAGCATGCCAAAATAGCAAAATGTGAGGGAAGATGCAAAACAATTAAATACTACTGGTTTTGACAATAAATATTAGAGCATTGTTATCTCTCTTCTGGATGGTAAAATCTCTTTGTTTATGAAAAAGTCTTCACATGCTACTCAAAGATATATTCGATATATTATGGGTGAAGCCCGTTTTGTGATCCTAGTCTGTAAAAAGATCATAATGAACTAAATTAGTCTAAATTGCAAATTATTGTGTGGACCATGGTCCACACAATGTTATGTGGACCATAACAAAAAATATATTTTTAATATACTAAATGAACATTATTTTTGTATTTTATGTACATTTTATAATAAAATGTACATACAGTACAAAAATAATGTACATCCCCTGAATATAATGTACATTATTTTTGTATTGAATGTACATTATTTTTGTGCTAAATATACATTATTTTACAATATACAAAATATGGTACATACAACTTGTGTGGACCATGGTCCACATAGTAATGATTAAGTCTAGATTACCCATAACTGACTAACTCAAATCAAGAAGACCAATTGACAACTCCATATCGAGTTTGATGTGGAAAGTATCCACAGATAAAACATTAAGGCCATGTTTGGTAACATAGTTAGATTATCAGCCAATTTTGACTTATTTGACCATTATTAGCTATTTAACTTAATTAAACAACAAATATAATTGTTTGATTAATTAACTTTTTGTAACAGCTTATTGTTCCAAAACATTAAAATTCAAAAAGCTGCTCAAAGCAACTTTTTCGATCAACTTTTTTTTTTTAAGAAAGTCATTTTGCATGTAATCAACTATTAGCTAACAACTAATTTACCAAACATCTTTCTATAATGAGCTAATGTTATCAACTAATCAAACTGTACTCACTGACCCAATCAGTTAATAGCTATTTATCATAGCAGGATAGGCTTACTCCTTGGAAACAGCAAGCTAAGCTAGCTAAGCAGCAACAAATGTAGAAGAAGAATGAGAAGAATCCATTAGAGATTCAGAGAATCTCCATTGACTCAAACTCAGAAAGGGGAGCCTATCTAGCTAGTTTTGCAGTGATATATAAACATGCATGATTCCTTTGGGCATCAAGAGAGTTGATGTAAATCTCAATAATTTTGCAGATAAGAACCAGATTCTATGCTAGCTCCACTTTATGAGCCACACAACTGGTGACTCAATTCAATTTTGCCTTCCTTCTTTCTTCACACTTCCAATCAAATTATGTTTCCTTGCACTTTTACCCATTCCAACATTTCAGCACAAAAGAGGAAGTTAATGAGGAATTAAGGATTTACTAGAATAAGTGCAACCATTAAGACTTCTTATAAGTGGCAAGTGATAGAGTATAAATGGGGTAACATCTTTTTTTTTTTTATTCTCAGTTACTCAAAATTTGTCGTTTCTGACTCCGTTGTTAAATATATTCTTCTCATTTTTATATGATTGTATGTGGTAAATTTGATCTTTTAAACGAATAGAAACACAAGATGACTTTAATGTTCTATGAGCATTTTAGTACTTTGGGTGTTTATATTTCTAAATTTCAATGAATCATGTTTGACCAAAACTTTCCCAAGTCAAAGGCGAACTACAAAACATTGAAATAAGTTTATTTTCACCTTTTAAATTTTGCTTTGAAACGCCCAAAACTACCAAATAGCCTCTAAAAAGTTAAAAGTTTAATTAGTACTTTATAGATACCAATATAAAGTATACAAGCAATAAGTGTCACAATATAATATATTCAATAGATAAATTCTTTATAAATTAATTTCTTCCTGCGTAACTGGTGTTAAAAAGATTCTTACCCTATTATGAGCTGAATTTACAATCCCATAAGTTCAATTGCTTTAATTGATGCTAGACAAGTGGCCCAGTAACTATGAAGGAGCTTCCCCACCATATCTCCTAGCTGCAGAGTCCAAATAACCACAATCTATTGAGACTTCGATTCTTGTCACAAATATTAAAAGTTCAGGTATAGATTAAATTTATATGTTTCTATGAGCATTTTAGTATTTTGGATGTTTAGTTTTGAATATATTGACTAAATTCAAATGAAATAATTCTTACATGTTTGCTAGTCGGAAGGCTAAAAATGCCACAAGCCAATAGTCTTACAAAGTTAAGTATATATTTTATAACTTTTAATAGTAGGGGATCAAAATGGCCAATTGCGTATATTTGAGGGACTAATATTTTTTTTTCCCTTTAAGTATTTGATAATTGGATTATATGTTTTCTGATTTGCTTAAAATTAAAAAAAAATATATAATAATAAATAGTAGGTTCATATCATTCATATGAAAATTAACACTAACAACAAAGTTATTCATGCCCTTGACACATATATAACTTAGTTCCATCACATACGAACTAAAAGCATCTCCAATAGTGATGATTTTTCTTTTTTGGTGTGGTTTTTGAGGTGCCAATTTGGAGGGAGAGAAGGGAAAGAGAAAAAGGAAAAAGAGAGAAAATAAAAATAAAAAAGCAGGTCTGACAAGAAAAAAACAAGGCATCTGACGCGCCAGCGGGCACGGTCTATGCAACCCAATCACACGGCTGCACTTCTCATTTCCCTTTTCTCTCTCCTAGTGAGCCACACAAAGAACTAATCTTGCAGGAGGAACCCATTTCTTCTCTCTCCTCCACATAAGTCATGTTCTCCTAAAAAATTGTGAAAAAATCACATTGTTCTTGGTTTTTAGAACAGTAAAAACTACGAGGGGAAGGTTTTAACTAATGTGGAGGCCAAGTTATTTTTATTTTTATTTTTTTTTTTGGGTGAGTTCCTCCTGAATTTTGCTAGATTTTGTCAGTTTTTGGCGCCCGTGCCCGCATGGCCAATTGAGAGCTGGCGGCCACCCTTAATTGAAGACTTTATATGTGTTTTATTTTTTTGTTTAATAAGTTTTATCTTTAACTTTTTAACTTTCTTGTTTTAATTTTTTAATTATTAATTTAATTTTATTTTATTTTTAAAAATTATTATTGTTATTAACTTTATAATTATTAATAATATTGTTATCAAATTTATAATTATAATTTTTAGAATGATAATAGAAAATAAAGAAATAATTAAAATATATGGAGTAAAATGGTAATTCCATAAAAAATTGAGAAAAAAACATAAAACTAATGTGGAGAAAGATTTTTGTGATTGAGTGAAATAGTAAATGATGATGTAGATGTTGGGCCCACAAAAACTGGAAAAAAACCCCAAATATTGAGGATCCCTAAGAAATTTAAAAATTGATTAGTACTTTTTCATCAATTAAATATTTAAAAAAGTTAATTCAAGGAATTTGTTTACCGAGAACAATTTTGGTAGCTAGGAACATTAATAAACAGATTTAGTGTTAACACATAAAACGTTATTTATAAGATAGATTTTCCTAACACGAATCGTGCCGCCCACTCTGTTGTTAGGGAGGCCGTTTCTGAGTCAGGTTGCGGGGAGTGGTTCGACATTCCCCCTTCATATCTTGTCGATTGTCTTGCTGATGATTTAATGCATTAAGTTTTGGTCTTCAAAAAAAAAAAAAGAAGAGAAAATAACGGATTGGATTCCCAACTATGGACACCCCCCCCCCCCCCCCCCCCAAAAAAAAAAAAAAAAAAAAAAAAACACTCTCCACCCCGGTTTAATTAGTATTTTATAGATACCAATATAAAGTGTCTTAACAATAAGTGTCACAATATAATTTAATAAATAATTTTTTTATAGATTAATAAGTGTCACAATATAATTTAATAAATAATTTTTTTTTTATAGATTAAATTGTTCTCGTGTAATCAATATTAAAAAGATTCTTGTCCTATTATGAGCTGACTTTACAATCCCATAACTTCAATTGCTTTAATTGATGCTAGAGAAGTGGTCCAGTAACTATGAAGGGGCTTCCCACCATATCTCCTAGCTGCAGGGTCCAAATAACCACAACCAATAATACTTTTAGAAATTTCTAATTATGTAACTTATTATAAATTTCATGAATTATGTGGTATTGTAAAGCACATGCTGGAAAAGATTTAATGATGTAATATGCAAGAGGATAAATGTCCTTTTCTATTTTTTTATTTTTATTTTTTATTTTTTTTTAATTTTTTTTTTTTGCACAACATTACAGTGAATTCTAATGTTGCTATTATGTATAAATTGGTAACCTAGAGGGTGGAAGGAACTCATTCATCCTTAACTAAACGTCAATGGTTCGATTTTTGGATTTAAGTACAGAATAGTCTTAAATCTCTAGACGAATTGTCTTATTCAATAATAGAAGTGCCTACAATTCAACAAGGACGGTCCATTCCTCATGCAGCCTTGCAGGCTGCACAAATTTTCAACATCATGAATCCTTAACTACACGTCAAGATAGAGTTCAATTCGTGG